GGTTTAGGGTTTAGGGTGTTTTTTGCATTCCGGGTTTTCCCTAACTCTAAACCCTCTTGGGTTTGGGGTTTTTGGGGTTGTGGAGAGCCAGCTTTTTATAGACCTTTGGAAGCTGCCGCACTGCAGGCGGCTTAGGATAGCGGGTGTTGGGGATTTGGGTTTAGGGCTTTGTCTGATGTTTGGGTTTTTGGTTTAGGGTTTGTTCGTCTACTGGCTTTGTCGGATTTGGGGAATAGCGTTGTTTTTTGGGGTTCAGAGCCAGCTGCTTATAGGCCGTTTTGGAGATGCCCGGAGGGGGGGGGGGGTAGAGCCGAAGGCTTTGGGGGTTTAGGCCTAAACAGTTTAGGGTTCAGGGTCTAAAGATTGGGGTTCAAGTTTTAAATGCCTTACGGCTTCTGTCTGATGTACGAGGTATTCGCTTTGAGGTCTAAAATTTAAGGTGGCAGGGTTTGGCGTTCAGGGCGAAGTGTGCCTGTGGCTTGGAGTTCCCGGGTTCTGTCGGGCAGGGTTTACGGGGGTTTAGGGCCTAAGGTTTAGTTTAAAGGTTTAGGGTTTCAGGTTTAGGGCTTAGGGCTTAAAATTTACGCTTCAGGTTTAGGGGTTAGGGTTTTAAATTTAGGGTTCAGGTTTAGGGTTTAGGGTTTAATGCTTAGGGTTTAAGGTTTAGGGTTCAGGATTTAGGGTTTTCAGCGATGCGAAGACAAGGAGTTCGGCATCTAATCTTGGGGCCTGGAGCATGATCAGATCAGACTAGGATCTTATACGTATGGTTTAATCGGGCTTCATGCGTCGTAGCGGCCGTTCATGAACGAGAATGAGTTCTTCGGGGATCGGAGCAGGTATACAGGGGCTATAGGGGGCATGGTTTGGCTTGTCTTTCAATTTATTTATTTTGGTTTTTGTTTTTTCTCTCTCCCTCTCTCTATCTCTCTCTCTCTCTCTCTCTCTCTCCTTCTCTCGGAAGGCTGGTATGCACCTGTCCCGGGCTGTCGGTGCATCATCAAACCGTCTAAGCACGAAGGATGTAGTCGCCCACAGGCAGCACCGAAAAGCCCAACCTGGGGGCCTTAAACATTAGGGGCATAAGGGGATATGACTGCTAATGGCTCAGGTACCTGTACCCTAGTATGTTCGATGGAAGACCGTATAGATTGAGAAAGGCGATCAGTGCTTCTCCTGTTGTACCGTCGCTTTGGGAACAAATATCCCTGAACCCTGACCCAAAGCCTATAGAACCCTGACAGCCAAGACCCTAAAGCTGCACCATATAGGCCCTACACCCTGAACCAGACATCCTAAAGCTTAAACCCTAAACCGGAAATCCTGAACACCAGTCCCCTAGGGCAGCTTCTTTCTTCGAGCTCGGTGCCCTGCCTTCTTTGCCACTTCTTCGCTGGCATTCTTGGGAACTTCGAGGATGTCATAGTAGTCCTCCGGCCGCTTCAATGTGGGGTGCAGGGCTTTATTCCGGGTTCCTTTAAAGGCCCCTTTTTAGAAGGGGTCTACAAAAGAGTTGATGTGGTTAGGGAATGTTAGGGATTCGAGTTTTGGCTTGAGGGTCCAACTTGGGTTTAGGAGGCGGGTCCTGCGGGTCCTCCGGAAAACCTTGAATCCAAACATAGGCAAAGCCCTAAACCCCCAAATTCAACTACGACAGTCTAGCAGAAGGAGGGGCACGGCTCAAGCGCTTATCAACGGCCTCATTCTTCAAACAGACCCCTAGGAAAAAGATACCTCTAAACAGGCATCCTGCTTTTGAACAACAGTGTGCAAACCGTCGACCCCCCAACTTTCAAACAGTCCCGGTTCAGAGTCCGGGCTCAAGGCTTTTATGCCAGTCTGGGCAACCCAGCTAGTCTGCATGGATCCAGGTCTGCGTGGTCTTGCGTCGTGTGGTTCGGGCGTGCCATCAAAAGAAACCCATCAACTCTCCGTCCAACGCCGAAAAAGAACAAAAGCCCCATGCCCAAACCCCCAACCCTAAACCCTCAACCCTAAACCCTAAACCCTAAATTCAATGTGTCCTTGGTGCGGAGAATTCGCTGAACGAGCTGCATCTGCTCAGTCGTATACTGGTGTCCATCCTGTCTCGATGCGAGCCCTACAGAACCCTAAACCCCTAAACTAAACCCTAAACCCTAAACCCTAAACCCTAAACCCTAAACACCTAAACCCATAAGCGTCAGCCCGGCAACCAATAGCCACAGGCACCCTAACCCTAACTCCCCAGGGTACCTACTTTTTTAGGACCCAAGAAGCTCGAGTACCCTATATAGTAGGTACCTGGGGTTTAGGGTTTAGGGTTTAGGGTTTAGGGTTAGGGTAAGGTTCAAACGGGGAAGATGTGGCCCTGCTCCGAACAGCATAGACTGCCACTCCTGCGGTAGGTTACTGTAGTAAGAGCGAAAGGCTGAGGGATAAAGCACCGAAGTGACTTTGCGAGAAGGGCTTCAAACCACGGCTGATATGGGAGTTTCCGAATTTTTGGGTACCTTGTTTTGGAGTCCTTATAATAAGGATCCCAGTGTTTGAGGCCATTCCTCCCACCCGGAACTGCGAATGCGCGAGCAGACTGCTTTCGGCAAGAGTACTGAGTACTGTGGGCCCCTGAATACAGTCCGTGCTTTAGTCTTTAAGCACCTATCTGTCTATCATCTATAGGAACCCTGTTGATTAAGGCCAGTATGTATGCCATATACGTGCTGAATCAACCCTTGGAGTGCATCCAGGGTCCACTTTGGGGCTCTCCACAGTGGGAGAGGGTCAATGAGTGACATACGGCCCCGTGGATTCGAGCACTCTGCTGGCCCGTTGGAAGCGCAAAGCGGAAGAGTGGATGACAACAAAAGAGACTTATCTAATGTAGCAGCGGCCTGTAAATTTGAAAGCAGAGAGATAGAGAGAGAGAGAGAGAGAGAGCGAGAAGGCACAAGGGAGGCAGAGGGAGAGAGAAGAAATTTTCTCCACCATCTCCCCCAACCCCATACTGCACATTCAATGTCCAAGACTACATCCCAAACTGCAAATTCCTACATCCCCTACAGCCATAAACTAACCCCAAACCCTAAAGCCTTGGTTCAAGTCCTAAGCTGTCAATCTCGACAACCCCGAACGAAGAGAAGGAAAAACCCTTAACCCCAAGACCAACATCCCAAAATGCCCTGCAGCCCCAAAAACCCTAAACCCCTAAACCCCAAACCCCAAACCCCAAACCCTAAACCCCAAAAACCCTAAACCCCAAAAACCCTAAACCCAAAAACCCTAAACCCAAAACCCCAAGAACCCTAAACCCCAAACCCCAAAAACCCTAAACCCCAAACCCCAAAAACCCTGAAAGGGGAGCCCTTGAGCCCCTCACATGGGTAGTTGTCAAAATTATGGGCCCCTTTTGGGGTACCCTAAATAATAGGTGCCGTATTATAATAAGGACCCAAAAAGGGTTTAGGGTTTAGGGTTTAGGGTTTGACCATAATTTTGACAACCACCCACATGAGACACAACTGCCTTGCTCGTGCGCACGTTGCTCGAGGCGCCCGAGGAGGTGGATGCCGTGGAGCCACGGTGGCGGAATCCCTGGGGCTCAAGGTTTAGGGTTTAGGGTTTAGGGTTTAGGGTTTAGGGTTACCCAAAGGGATCCAAAGTACCGAAAAGTAAAATGTAGGGTTTATATAGGGTTTAGACGAATCCTTGTGATGATTTGGGAGATTATACCCCCGTAACAGTACCCAGTACCCTTTGGGATAAGGGTTCCTACTGGCTTCTAGGGCTAAGAGGTCTCAAGATTTAGAGTTTCTGGGCTTCGAGCTTCAATGAGCAGGGCTTGCAGACTTTATGGGTATAGACTGTCGTGGGGTGACAACGGTGTCACGCCGACACTGTACGCCTTTGGTGGAGATAGAGGAGCGTAGGCATCCGGCGCTATGGAAGGGCCTTTAAGAATTTTGCCACATAAATTGGCTCGGGCATTCCCCTGAACCTGAAACCCCGAGCCTATAAGCCCCAAACCCCGAAATCCATGGCTAGGAGCCGTCAACACCGAAATCTTGTACCTAGCAATCAGACCCTCATCCCCCAGTTACCTACTATATAGGGCCCTATGTAGGGCTCGAGTACCCTATATAGTAGGCACCTGGGGGGTTCGGGAATTATCAGACCCTAACTACACCCTAAACCCTAAACCCTAAACCCTAAACCCTAACTACACCCAGTACTACGCGCAAGAGACGACGCAGGCTTTGAGGCTCTCAAGTGCTGGGCTTGAGGGAGTCCTATACCCTCCAGGGTTTAGGGTTTAGGGTTTTAGGGTTTAGGGTTTAGGGTTTAGGGTTTAGGGTTTTGGGGTTTAGGGTTTAGGGTTTACAACTCCTTCCTTTCAACTGGGGGAGGTGGGGAGTCTTAGGGGGGGTGGGGTGGGGTGTCAGCGTTTCGGGTTTAGGGCTCAAGAAGACTATAGTTCTAAATACTTACAATCCCAATTGATGTGCTTACATCCTCTTCTTTTAGATTCCCTGATACTAAGCAAACCTTAGGGGATGATCTTCTAACATTGAAACGCGGTAGACAGCAAAACACAACGTTGAGTATAGGTACAAGCCCAAGGAATATGGGTGACTCTCGACGTGGTTGTCTAAAGTATCTTGGACAAACTTGGGTACGGACTCAAAGCTCAGGGCGCCCAGCGAAAACTCTGTAGTAGAGTGGCCTTAATAATTGGAGCGGGGTTTGGGGAAATATGTTATACTATAATTCCAGTAATGTTGAGGAGACCCCAAAATAGTATTCGTAGTTCTTGAAGCCCCTACTATAGTAAACCCTAGCCCGAAACCGTCGATCCCAAACCCTACACCCTATAATCCCTCAATCTACAGCCCTAATCCGAAACCCGAAACCCAAAGCCCTGTGGAAGTTAAACCCTTCGGACCAGAAGCCAACAAAAAGGACGTAAGAATAAACGCTTCGCACGGATATGTCTGCCTTGATGACGTTCATTATACGGGAATTTTCATGGGATACCCCCTGACCCTTTAAGCCCTAAACCATAAGCCCTAAAGTTTTAAAGCCTGAGCCTTATCAACCCTGAACCTTAAGCCCCAAGCCCTGAACCCGAAGCCCGAACCCTCAACCCTCAACCCTAAACCCTAAACCCTAAACCCTAAACCCTAAACCCTCAACCCCACGCCCCAGGAGGCCTCCGAGGCTGTGGGGTTCCCATCGGAATCGCCCTTGGCCGAAGGTGACGAAGCTCCCGGTGAAGAAGCGGCCACCTTTTCCGGGTTCTTCATTGTTGAGGAAACTGGTTTAAGTTACCATAGCAAGGATACATATCGAAACCATGTGTGTGTGTGTGTATGTATATATATATATAGATATAGAGTATACAGTAAATCCTCATTATGGCGACTGATATTGAATTCCATTAAGCAGAACCGCCTTGTTGGAGGTTTCTTGGGTTTAGGGTTGGGGGTAGTGGGTTCAGCAAGCAGACACCTTTCCCGTGGCCGATGGTCATTGATGTTTTTTGGGCTTGAGGCGGAGTTTATTTGGCAGGGGTCAGGGATGCTACCAAGCGTTAGACTATCCGCTGGCTACTACGTCACATCGAGAATCGAGCAACACAGGGCTCAATACACACGACAATCATCCGCAATGTAGTGATCACTGACCTGTGAAACCCTGATGTCCGAAGAGACGGCCTGCGCAGCCGCGAGCATCTCGTCGATGGATGTGTCCGTTGGACACATACGCTTTGCCTATGCCGGCTTGGGGTATAAGCATTCTTGGAGCATGAATAGCGGCTGGGATTGTCGACCTACTGTTCATAATCATGTGATGGCTGCGTCGATAGTCTACCCTGGCCATTCCTAGCCCTTGCACATACACGCTATTGCATAATAATTACTGCAGTTGCAATGGTTGCTACAGATCACACTACCTTGCATGTCATTGCATCACATTGCGCCACATTGGGCTGCATCACATACAAAACACACACGCCCGCACGCCCACCCACATACATACACACACACACACACTAACACTATTTTTGCCCACACAAACCCAGAGACACAGAGAGAGAGAGAGGTACAATACACGCACGTATGTGTGTGTGTATATATATATATACACTTATCCCTGCGATGGTCTGTCACCGGGAGGGGGGTGAACATGTACATACGAATATATATATATATATATGCACATCAATTTATATACAATATATATATATATACACACACACATGGTCAGCAGTCTCGCGTTCCCGGCCCCCCCACCACCTCATGGTATGGCGTTGGAGCTGCAGCTGAGGGTGTGGGTGCTGGTTGGGGGCGGCCAGGGGTCGCAAAGATGGCCGGGATTCCATGCTAGCCCCACGCAAGCCATGAACCCTATACTGTAGGGCCTGCTCCTGGATTTTATTAGCCTTAACCGACTTTAACCTGTCCTTTAAACCCTACACTCTACACCCAACCCTAAACCCCGCTTACATGCAACACCCGGGACCCTCCCTAAGCCCCTGTCGACTCGAAGCCTTAGACCGTTTAACTTTTATCCGTCAACCCTAAACCTCAAAACCCCACAACCACCCCACAAGGGGAAGAGGGACCCAACAACCCACCCCAGAGGCTGACAGGGGGAGGGGGGGCATACTGGACCATGGACCATGGGGGACATACATAGATGTGTTCATATATATATATATCTCTCTCTCTCTCTCTCTCTATCTATCTATCTATCTATCTATCTATCTATCTATCTATCTATCTATCTATATCTATATATCTCTCTCTCTCTCTCTATATATATATATATACACACACACCCGTCCACACACACGCACACACGCGCCTCTGGAAATTGCCACATATAGTACATCAATACGTGATGCGCGCACATGCTCAGAGCTTGTTTCCTTTACAGACGAACAGGAGTCTAACCAAGCTGTGTACAAGTAGCTCGATGCAGGGCATACATACAAAGATACATAGATACATAGATACAGAGATACAGAGATACATAGATACTTACCTACCTACCCACCTACCTACATACATACACATCTGCAAACAAACAAAGACAGAAACAAACAACCGCACAACTAACAAATAAAAAACACGAAAACAAGCAAGCAAACAAACACACAAACAGACAACACTCACACAAACAAACAAACAAACAAACAAACAAACAAACAAACAAACAAACTAACTAACTAACAACCAAACAAAAAAACAAACAAACAAACAAACAAACACACAAACACACAAACACAACAACACACAAACAAGCAAGCAAGCAAGCAAACAAACGAACAAACAACCAAACAACTCTCCATGCATGCATGCATGCATGCACAAAATATACATTCATACATGCAAGTGTGCATACATGCATGAATATGTACACGCATTGCATTACATTTCATTACATTTCATTAATTTCATTACATTTCATTACATTTCATTACATTGCATTACACTGCAACACATTGCATTACGCTGCATTACATTGCATTACATTGCATTACTATGCCTTGCATTACATTGCGTTACATTGCATTACATTGCACTGCATTGCATTCATTACATTGCCTGCTGAGGACGAACCTGTCATGTCCAGCAGGAACGCTAATAAACTTGTCCAGTCGTAGCTGGAGTTACAAGATATCAACATCGATTCTGCCGCCCCGCACAAAACAGAACCCAAACCCTCCAGGTACCTACTATAGAGGGTACTAGCGCCCCATAGGGCCCTATATAGTAGGCACCTGGAGGGTTGGGGAGAAGCTGTCACAAACTGGAAGGGAGGCCTTCTGCAGTATGCGCGTGGCCTTTTCGGCCTGGGAGCACCAGAGGGTTCCGCAATTTTCTGCATGGTTAGTGGATTTTTGTTCTTAAGGTGTAGGGTTTAGGCTTAGGGTTTAGGGTTTAGGGTTGTTCTTGGGGTTTAGGGTTTAGGGCTTTGACAGGGCCCGTTTCTGTGCACTGCAGCGTGGTTCGGTTTACTCAGCGTTTGGCGATACATCCAAGCCCCGCAAGAGCTCCATGTCGGGACCGACATACATAATTCGCGCTGCACCAGGGAGTGTCAAAGAAAAAGAGTACAGTGTACGCCCCTGAGTAAACAAACCACCTCCCTTGAAGCCCTAGGTACACCCTAAACAACCTACCGTTTTAGGGCTCCTTAGCATGACGTTTTTACATACGTGCTTAGAAAGGTAAGTGATGTGGGGTTAAGGTAGGCCCTAAACCCTAAACCCTAAACCCTAAACCCTTGTTGAAATCAGCATCTGTGCT